TATAAGCCAAGGCTCTAACTCCTAGACTTGAGCAATTAGAAACATAGTAAGATCGATTAGCAACACAATAATCACAGAAGCGGAAAATAACTTGAAGCAAAACCACGACTGGGTTGAGGGTCAAGTATACAAAGTGACTCCACAACTAGGGTGATTGACTAGGTCGTAATGTTGGGTTCTCCTTGTAAGCTCGATTCCACGAAGGGACAAGAAAGAATCAAGAGTTCGATAATGAACACTAAAAAACTAGGGTTTCGAATTCAATAAAAGTTATTCATCCTGTAGGCAAATCCTATTATAGAGTTTACAAAACAATGTATCTACCATTAATTAAAGCTAAACTCCGACTCCTTCCAACTATAGAGTCCGAATGCCAAAAGGAAAAGGAAATAAGAATAAGATCCGCCCAAAAGGTTCCATTCACTGTTTACATTCACACCAAGGATCACTTAACCACTAAGTAAACTACTTCCTTCCTTTTGTCGAGTTGGGCTCTTCTTCTTGGTCGTTGATAATGTTGATCTCTTGGCCCACAAACAACTCAGAATCCAACAATGGAAAACTCTTGGCCAAATAAGCTTGTAGTTGTGACTTGAATGCTTTGGTTTGACTTCGAGTAATTGACCCTTCTCTTTGACAATCTCATCTCGCACCACCATTGAATTTGTGACACCCTTGATGTTGATGCGGTCATCATAATGGTTGAGACATGCATGGAACAATTGTCTCCAAATGGTTGAGAATAATTTCAGTTTGTTCCAAACATGGATTAAGTTATCGTACTAGACTTGCTGATTGAACTGGAAAAACCGGCCCGAGTCCAAAATCAGACTCAAAATTCGATCCTCAAAAATAATAAACGCTCTCACATCATATTACCACTAAGTCAATTCTTGGTTATAATTTGGAAAAAGCAATTGGATTTGGATTTATGTGCTAATAAATAACATAACAAAACTACCGTACAACAACTAACAATACAACCAAATCGTTTTTTAGGGTTAATATCCTAATTTGGCCCAAATTTCACCGTAAGTGACATTTTTTGCTTCACTTTTCAAATAATAAATTTATGGCCTACTTTTGAAATTATTAGACAGATTTAGGCCGAAAATTATGTTGACCGTTAAAACTGACGGTCAAACATTTTTACCATTAATTTCTCAGCATCACAGCTGAGATGGCTATGATGTGGCTTCCCAAGTGATTTGTTTGGTTAAAAAAATTAATAACATAGAGAATAAAAAGAAGAAAATAAAAAATGTGAAACAAAAAATCCCTAAAATCCCAATCTAGGGTCTCCTCTCCAATCCATTCCCGGTCTTCTTTCTCGCTCAATTGAGTTCGCGAATCGCCGATAAGCACGTGAACGAGTGAGAGACCTATTATTCTAAACCTTTTATATTAAATAGATATTCCTCGCGCGCTTCGCTACGCAATTTTTTTGATACTTGCTATGAGTTAGTTTGATCTACAACTACAAAATATATAATGGCAAAACATGGGTTGGAATTCTTCCATTTCAAATTTCGTGGCCTGAGAGTGATTCTAGGAAGGTTATTTTTGTCATTGCTCTCAGTTCATGTTTATATATTAAAAATGTTATCATTAGAGTTCAAACCTTGGTCACTTCATTGAAGAAAGAGCATGATACCCAACTAGGCTACATTTCATTTATTGTTATCTCTTTGATTGAACTCTAGGAATATGTTTGGTGATAATGCTTCTACATTTATATTTTATAGAAAGAAATTAGTTCTGAAATTGGAACTCAAATAGTATTGATCCAAACATTAATATTAAATTGTAGGGTAAATACAATATATTAGCCACGACTACTATGAAACGGGGAATTATAGCCACAATTATGTAAATTCAAATTATTAGCCATAATTATTGTTGCGAGTCAAGATATGGCTAACTGTCCGTTACTATTATTGAATTTTTAACGGAGAAGGCCACGTCATCGACCATGGCAGCAGCCACGTCGGATTGTTTTTAATTTATAACTTTAAAACATAAAAGTTTAGTCAGCATTACTAACGGAATTGTTAACAGAGAGTTAACGTTTGGCTAAGAATTGGAATTTCCATAGTTGTGGCTAAAATTCACCGCTTCAGAATAGTTGTGGCTAATATATTGTATTTATCCTAAATTGTATGTGTTGTTTAGTTCAGACAAAATAAAGAAGTTAACCTTTGTGACAAGTATAGTCATTTTTTGTGACAAATCTACCATAATATATTGATAAAAATTGGAAAATAGAGTCTCATTTCAAATTTCGTGGCCTGAGAGTGATTCTAGGAAGCTCTTTTTCGTCATAGTGCTCAATTTATCTTTATATTATGTATAGATTTTCTTTATATTACGTATAGATTTGTGACAAAAAATAACTATATTTGTCACTGAGTGCATTTATGATTGTTTTTATCTTGGTGTTGCGAATAAGTAGAAACTTAATTATTATAATGCATATATATATACCTAGGCACATGGTCGAGCTAGCACGACATAGTTAGAGCATACCATGAAGACAATGTATATGGATGTGCCATGTACAAGCATGAATGCTTCATGGGTTGTACCAGACTTAAACTTCAAGGGCTCTCGCACAAGTGCGAGCACCACACAGCCTATATTGGTGAACACATGTTGTATGGAGAAATGCGTCATTTGATAAAAAAATAAAACAAAATATTCTAAAAATAACGTATAAAATTTGAATTAATTAGTAGTTCTCACATCGTCGTGTGACGGCTCATATTCTAAAAAGTTTATAAAATACATTCATTGTTTATTTTGAGATTCAAAACTTTTTCAATGTATACAACTGAAAATTCATTTATAAAATCATTCTTGATTAACTTCATAGCTGGAAAGTTTTTTTTACAGCTTGCAGTAATAACAAACAACGTCAACAATAACTTTAGAAGCAAGTAAAGTGAAAAAGAAATGGGGATTTAGTATTTCTTTGCAAGTGTGTGTGGGGGGGGGGGAATTTTTGTCTAAAAAAGTTGAGCAAGGGTTGAAACTCATATATAATTTCTTTGAATATTGAATATTGCATATTGAATTGGAGTGTTGAACATTTTGGAAGCGAAAAGAAATTATATATTGCATATTGAATTGGAGTGTTGAACATTTTGGAAGCGATATATATTTCTTAAATTAGTATTAATTTTCAGTCCGGTTGACCAATATCCTTAGACCTTTTGCTAATTTGACATGGATCCAATAATCATAAGACAAGATTTAGTTTAATATGGCTTCAGTTCAAAACCTTTTTTATGTGTAATGAATTTGTACGACAAATACATGTATAGTGAAGATGAACCTAGTTATGTATTTTGATTCTTTAGATAAATACAATGGTTTAAGGCTTTAAGCAATGAGCTAGCTATACACTCACTCGATTGGTTTAACGAGTTATGTTTTTTTATCACTTTTAATAATTAGTTTATTCACAAGCTATCAAGCTACTTTGCTCCGTCGATGAATAAGCGGCCATCATTCGCTAGGTTTCAGGTGCTCTGATTCACACTATTGATTGTGAATCGAGAAGAAGCATTTCGAACGCAAAATTGGAGAAGTAATTGAGATGTTTATAGGTTTCTCTCGATTCGAAGCGGTGGGAAGAAAGAGGAAGGGAAAAGGGGGTGACTTGTGAGATACAAAGTTGAGAGTGAGATGGAAGAACAAATGGAAAAACAAAGAGGAAGGCAAAGAGAGAGTGAGAGGACAATTAAAAGAGGTGGAAAATTAGATAGTGTGAAATAATTGTCCTTCTGCTTTGATTAGTGGATATTCTTGGCCCTATTCTGTTGAGTTTTGATTTATTTTAGGAGATGACATTATATTTGACATACTTTTTCCATTTCATTTTTAAATACTAAATCAATATTCATTTGGAAGATTTTCCTTGACACTATTATTGTAATTTATGATATTTAAGGGGTATTTGATAATGTCAATATTTTAGTGGTTTTTTATTTAAAGTTTGTACTGAAAGATCGAACGTACCGGCGGTTATGTAAGGTTTAGGGAAAACATATGGAATATTATTAACACTAGGGTATTTATACTCAAGGATTACAAGAGTAGTGTACTACATGGACTAGGATTACATGGAGAGTAAGGTAACTTATAATTCAAGCAAACATATGTTTACTTATCCCTAATACGCCCTGCAAGATGGAGGAGGCGTTAGTAAGCCCAATCTTGGACCGAAGAAGAAGGAGGCGAGTGCGCGAAAGCGGCTTAGTAAGCAGATCAGCCAGTTGAGACAACGTCGGGAGATGACGAACCACCAGCTGTTTAGACTGGACCAACTGATGCACGAAATGATAATCCAAAGCAAGATGTTTCATGCGACAGTGAAACACTTCATTAGAACTGAAATGCATAGCTCCCAAGTTATCACTGGAAAATAGTTGGAGGCACGGCAAGAGGTTGGTGAAGCTCATTAAGAAGATTATGAATCCATTGAGCTTCAGAGGTAGCCAGCGCCATAGCCCGGTACTCGGCCTCAGTGCTAGAACGGACGACAATGCGTTGTTTCTTTGACTTCCAAGAGATAAGTGTGTCGCCGAGATAGACCAAGAAACCAGAAGTAGAAGTACGGTCATCTGGGTCACCTGCCCAATCGGAATCCGTGAAGAACCCTAGTCTCAACATAGACATAAGGTACAATAATTAATTAATTAATAACGGATGGGATGACCCCATATATATATGTAACTAGCTAGATCTTAATTTGTAGATTATTATATATGAAATAATATTTGCCTAGCTATATATATAGCTGTACGTGAAGCTTAATTGTGAAGAATTAATTAAATTCAACTTAACATGCATGCATGCACGATCAGACGGACAAAGCTTCAATGTTAGAAGAGGTGATCGATTACTTGAAACAACTCCAAGCTCAAGTTGAAATGATGAGCCATGCTCGAAGCTTGGTCGCAGCGCCTCAAATGATGATCCCTTTTGATGCACATGCACTACATCAACAACAGGAGCAACAGAAGCAGCAGCAGCATCAGTGTGTCGCCGAGATAGACCAAGAAACCAGAAGTAGAAGTACGGTCATCTGTGTCACCTGCCCAATCGGAATCCGTGAAGACTCGAAGAGACAAGGGCTGGCGAGAGCACCGAATGTGTAAGCTGAGAGTCCGAGTACTAGCTACATACCGGAGCAGACGCTTGACGTACTGCCAGTGCACAGAGGTGGGAGCATGCATGAACTGAGAAAGACGATTGACCGCAAAAGCGACGTCAGGTCGAGTGGTAACCAAGTACTGTAAAGCACCAACTTCCTGACGATAAAGGGTGGCATCAGCCGCAGAAGAGCCATCAGAGAGCTGAAGTTGAGCAGTAGAAGTCAGCGGAGTCAAGCAGGGATTAGCCTCATGCATTTGAAATCGGGTCAGTAGGTCAGCAACATACTTGTGCTGTGAAAGAAGATAACCAGTGGTCGTGGGAATGACCTCAATCCCAAGAAAAAAATTAACCGGACCGAGATGCTTAAGAGAGAACCGATCAGCCAGTTGTTGACGAAAAGAGGAGAGGAAGCTCGAGCTGTTTCCAGTCAGAAGTAGATCTTCCACATACATGAAGAAATAGGCAATGACTCCACCATGACGATAGACGAACAACGAGGCATCTGAACTGGTTTTGACAAAGCCACACTGAACCAGGAAAGAACTGAGAGCATCATACCAAGCACAAGGCGCCTGCGGAAGACCATAAATTGCCTTGCGAAGGCGATAGACATGATGTGGATAGCGTTGGTCACAAAAACCAGGCGGTTGCGACATATAGACCTCCTCCTGTAGCGGTCCTTGAAAGAACGCATTGTAAACATCAAACTGAAAAAATGGGCCAGGAGTGAGATAAAGCAAGTGTAAAAATTGTCCGTAAAGTAACAGGCTTCAAGACTGGGCTGTATGTCTCATGAAAATCCACTCCCGGACGCAGATGAAAGCCTTTGACAACAAGACGTGCTTTGAATCGCTCGAGAGACCCATTCGGAAAAAAATTCACACGAAACACCCAACCACATTAAAATGAGGCTAGCATGGGACTAAATGCCAAGTGTGGTTAGCACAAAGAGCTGCATTTTCGGAGGTCAGGGCCTGCCGCCATTGAGGATGCTTGAGAGCTTCCTTCACCAAAGTAGGTTCCAACGGAACGGACGAATTCTGCAACTGAGTAACATTAGCATACTTCGGGTTAGGCTTCCAGATGTTGTTCTTACCACGAGTCACCATAGAGTGAGGCTGCGGGGTTGGCCGAGAGGTGGAGGGCCGAGGAGAAGGGCCAACATCGGGAGGAGGAGGAGCCGTAGTAGCTGGCGAAGACCTAGTAGAAGGGCCTGTCTTGGTGGATCTGGGTGAAGAGGAGAGCTGTTGTGGATCCAAAGGGGAAGATCTTGGTGATGGAGTGGACTTCAGAGGAACAACAGACACAACAGGAAGGAATGCAGCAAGCCAGGATGAGAGGGAAGGAGCTGCAGACGAATTGGACGAGGAGGAGGAAGAGACCCCAGGAAAAGTGGTGTCAAGAAAGACCACGTGACAAGACAAAAACAGACGTTGGGCAGAGGGATCGAGACAGCGGTAAGCACTTTGCTGATGCGAGTACCCGAGGATGACACAGGGACAAGAACGTGATAGGAGTTTATGAGAGGAGTAAGGACAAAGCCAGAGGTAGCAGAGACATCCAAAAACACGAAGTTCAGAATAATTAGGCGACTCATTGAAAAGAACAGTGAAAGGAACTTGAACACGAAGAGAAGACGAGGGAAGACGGTTTATAAGATCAACAACAGTAGAGAAGGCATACGACCAATAGGTGAGGGGAAGACGAACACGATGAATTAAGGTAAGGCCCGTCTCAACAATATGACGATGCTTATGCCCAGAAAGACAATTATGTTCAGGTGTGTACGGAGGAGTCAATAGGTGAGTAATATCGTGAGCGGTCAGTTCATGACGCAATTTTTGAAACTCGCCTCCCCCATCGGTGTAGAGCGACGAATGGTTGTAGAAAAATAGTTTTTGACAAGTTGTTTAAAGGCCACAAAGACGGATAAAACATCTGATTTAAAACGAAGTGGATAAATCCATGTATAGCGAGTAAAATGGTCAACGATAACAAGATAATACGAATAACCATCAACTGAATTAACAGGGGCAGGACCCCAAACATCCGAAAACACTGACTTATCGTGACCACAAAGCCAGGCATCTGTTAGAGTGTGGTATAAGATCCAACATAACCATCTCCCAACAACTCGAGTTATCGGGACCAACTGGATCATGACATGGTATCAGAGCTGGTTTGGCTAAGTGGTCGTGTGTTCGAATCTCCATGACCCCCACTATTAACAGTTGATTAAAGCACAATGTATGGTGGGCTTGTGCAAACTTCAAGCCCATGGGTTGGCTTTCGTTTGAGGGGGCGTGTTAGAGTGTGGTATAAGATCCAGCATAACCTTCTCCCAACAAATGGAGTTATCGGGACCAACTGGTTTATGACAAGTGGTATAAGATTCAGCATAACCTTCTCCCAACAACTCGAGTTATTGGGAGTAACTGGTTCTTGACATGATATCAGAGCTGGTTTGGCCAAGTGGTCGTGTGTTCGAATCTCCACGACCCCCAATATAACAGTTTATTAAAGCACAAGGTATGGTGGGCCTGTGCAAACTTCAAACACGTGAGTTGGCTTTCGTTTGAGGAGGCGTGTTAGAGAGTGGTATAAGATCCAACATAACCTTCTCCCAACAACTCGAGTTATTGGGAGAAGGTTATGTTGTTTATGACACTGTTGTAAGAGTAGTCCACGCTATGTGAGACGTGGCCGACGAGCTGATGAAGGGAAGGACACCTTCAGAAACAGAGGCAAAGATGCAGTTGAGCAAGAGTTGATCCTGTCGATACCAGCGTATGTAGGCTGATTGGAGCTCGACGCACCATTAGCCGTGACCATGGCGGCTGGTGCAGGGAAAGAACCATCAAGGAAGCCCGTGAAGTCGAGGCCAGCTAAAAGGGACATGAGTTGCGCTCGTCAGGACGGGAAATTATGAGCGACGAGCTTTAGTGGAAGGGAGGCAGTCGGGTTGAACGTGACGAGGGCAACCTCGCCGCCAGCACCGCCGGAGGAAACCTCATCGGAGGTCGCAGAATTGATGTCGGACATGGAGAGAAGACGACGAAGAGACGCGAGATGGACGCTGAACGTTGGCGTCGGAAAAAAAGAACTAGGGTTGCAAGACTTAGCACGACAAAAGCTGAACGTGGACGCCGGCCGAAGGAAAATTTTGGGTTTTGGGGTTGGAAAGCCAGCTCTTAGGGGTGGGCATTGGTGCGATCCAAACCGCACCGCACCACATTAACATGCACCGCACCGCAAATAATTGGACCGCACCGCATACAAGACCGCAATCTAATTGGTGCGGTCTAATCAAACCGCATAAATTAGTGATTTGGTACGGTTTGGACCGCAAACGCATACATGACCGCAAAGTACATTCAATAACAATTTAATCATAATAAAAAAACCGAGTATAACCTGTTTTTCGTTAACAATAGAGTATTTATAGAACTTGTTGTTTGTTCATATAACAACATATATTACATATCTGATTGTTATTGGAAATGAATCCAATCAATAAGTAAAGGAATCCAAGTAACAAGTCTCTTTGTTTGTTCATATAAGAACATATACTACTCTCTTGGTTGTGCCAACAATATGGAGGTGTAGGTGACACACTCAAGGTCTGATGGCATGCTCTATTGATGAGAAAGATTAAAGGTTTTATGTTATCAAAATGGAACAAGTCATAGTCCTCTGTTTTCAGTTGGGAAGAACAGAGTAACTAAACAAAATCTTCATATAGGTACCACTGCATCATTATTTTTTTAATTTTCGACCATTTATCCAACCTTTTCTCTCAAGGATTGTGCATTCTATAGAGTACACTCCTGCTCTAAACAGCTCGTATGCAAGACATATTGAAATGGAGTTCAATTTGGAAGACGTAATATAAACACAAATACTTCAGACTCTTCATTTTGGGTCTAAGAACTTTCTTCTTCAGACGTCGTTTTTCTGCTTTGAAAGCCAATTAAGATTTCAAAATCACCATGTTCCGATTTTCTGATTCAAACGTCGGATATCCATCGTGCTTCTTCTCTGTTTCCTCCTTTGTTTCTTAGTTCTAGTGGTGCATCATAGCTAAAATTAATCAAATGTCCCTTTTTCCTGGTTGAAATCATGCAATTTGGTAGAACTCTCTTAAAGGTGATCAAATCAGTTTGTCAATTTCATATTCATATCTTCTAGGAACTGCAGCAGTTGGCGTAGAGCTGGAGCAAGAATTCATCAATCACTAGCAAAAGATTGATTACGGTTTGCGGTTTTCAACCGCAACCGTGCGGTTTCGGTTTAAATCGACTGCAAACCGCGGACAGCATAAATTGTAGACCGCATGGTAGACCGCAAACTTAACGGTGCGGTTCGGTGTGACCGCATATGTGGTTCGGTGCGGTTCGGTGCGGTCTGACCGCACCGATGCCCACCCCTACCAGCTCTGATACCATGTAAGGTTTAGGAAAACATATGGAATATTGTTAACACTAGGGTATTTGTACCCAAGGATTACAAGAGTAGTGTACTACAAGGACTAGGATCACATGGAGAGTAAGGTAACTTATAAGACAAGCAAATATACGTTTACTTATCCCTAATAAGTTAGATCATAAAACTTCACATCATAGGATAAATCGATAGGTGATATTAGCAATATGAAACGGTTGAACCACAGTTAAATTATGACTTCAGTATCAAATACTCTACTACCAACTTTTTAATACGATATTTGTAATCTTTTGGTTCAAACAATTCTTTTACACTGGTAGAAACAAAAGTTTTAAGGCACATTTTGAACTATCTATTGCAAAAAGCATAAGTCAGTTAGCGATAATGAGAATATGAGATCTCATGCAATCCAAAAGACACTTTGCAACTTCTATCTTTTTAAAATAAATAAATAAATACTACTCATATTCTCGCTCATTCACCAACTTAATGAGTAACATATATTTCAAGTAATATTATTTCCATCCGTTTTTATTTATTGAATTATTTCATGGAAAAAAAATATTTGCTGCATGAAAATTACTACTTTGTTGTTAGACATGTCTGCGATCTGAGAATAATTTGGGAAGTCCGTACACAACACATTGTCCAACTAACTATTAGTGACAGTTTAACATCATGTCCTATATATTTCAAATCAAGCAACTTCATATTCATTACCAACAGTGTGGTAAAAAGGAATGCTCTCTTGGGAAAAACTTAAAGGACATAATAAACTCTATGAGACATTTCTTTCATCCTAAAGTTTGATTATATATGTATTATGAGAAGCAACTCTAATATTCAACTATATGATTTAATTAAGTATTGAATGACAATTAGTTATATATTTTTGTCATTCATTAATTATATGTAATGCTTATATTATATTTTTTTCTCTTTTCATGGAGGTCTAAAGTCTAAACACATTATGGATAGTTCGATCACTTTCAAAAATGTTATGTGCATAACTAAGATAGAAAATAATCATTTCATCCATTTCAAATCATCTATTATATCCATTATTATATATCATATTCCTCGACAAAATTTTTCTGGCCAACGGGCCAGGCCCTGTGCTAGTTTAATAGTAATGGGTAACGGGGGACTTCTACTGTTATGTAATCTAATTGCCAGTATAGTTATCCTTAAGAAATCGTAACTATAGAGAGTTACTTTCCGGACTCCGTATCAAACACTCCAACCATTTATATTTTTTATATATTATATAATAAAATATTTATTTACAAACCCCAATATCCCGTAACTCTACCGAATTCCATTGAACCTTTTTCCCCCAAATCCTTTTGCCTTCTATCCAACCATCCCCCCACCATCTCCTTGTTGTCTGTCTCAGTTTTTTTACGCCGGTGCTCCACGGCCGCCTTCGCTTTCCATCATTGTTTTTGTCGTCCTTTCTCCAATATAATACACAGCGACTCCATTCTCTTTCTTGATGCTTTCCTTTCCTCCCAATTATAGATTGTAGTATTCTCCCTAATGCCTTGTATTTCTCCTTAACCAGTGGCGGATCCGGGGGTGGCCACCCCGGACCGTGGCCCAGCCCTTCCTTGAATCCGGAAGTAATATAGTCCTTATTAGTTTATCGATTTTAGCCATTTGACCGAGTGTTATTTTATAATAAAATTGTGTATAATTAGGAAAATGGGTAAGATGAACATATTCGAATCAGAACTCTAAATTTAGCCTGAAAGTTCTAGCTCCAATGATTCTCATGTAAAGAAAAACAAACAATGAAACCTAAAACTTTAAAGCATAAAAGACTAAAAGAAATATGAGGCTTATTCCCTTAAGAAATTACTAGAGCAGCTTATGAAAATAGGAATTAACACACAATATATATTGATTAGTCGATTGATTTGTCCAGTGTTGACATTTGCGTAACAAAAAAGAGATGAATTTCTCGCCAATTGGTTAACTATTTTATCTTAAAGAGAGTATGCTATTGGTGTGGATGTAAACTCCATTATTGATGAATTCACTATATTAAAGTTTTAAAGATGACGTGTACAATTGATATTGTAAAAAAAACTGTGATTTTCTTACTATATCTAATTTTCTAATGAAATGAGACTCAGTGCTCTACTGTGTCCTGGATCCGCCGTTTGACTTCTTCTCTCCGACCATCTTTGTTGTCTACTCCCTCTTTTGTGATTGATTTACTGAAATGGTTGCATGCAGATAGATCATTTCACTGTTGCATGCACAAAGTTACAGAGATTGATTTTCAGAAGCTGAAGGAACGAAATCGTTAGGTGTGCTTCTACTATACCAATACTAAGGTATTATTCCCTTAATGAGTTTGACCTGGAGTTAGTGTGTGTAATTATGCTTGGTGTTGCATACCATTTTACTTGGGATCCTTGATAAAGTTCAATCGATAGTTCTTTGCTAATTAGATGAACTGTGATTGAATTCGTGTGAAGGAACAAACAACATAAGAATTGAAGAATCGGGATGCATTAGAAGAAAGAGAATAGGGGAAGCGAATAACATGCAAAAGGGAGAAACAGGACTCTATCAACATTGCCATCTGGTCGGGTATTGCTGGCGACGATCTTTTGATCGGAGAAGAAGGATAGAGAGAGAGAGGATATGCAGAGGAATATCAGGGACTGGGTTAGGGAAGCGAGTCAAGAACTCTAGAATTCAATTGTAGAGTACAAAATCTGAATGGCAAAATTGTAAACAGGAGAAAAAGAAGGTTATTTGGACGTGTTGATCATTGGTGTCTTCTAGCCGGAAAAAACCTGGCTTTTATATATAGAAAAATTAGACATAAATTCACTCACTATATTTGTCCCTCACCTCAATTATGCATCAGTTCAGCAGTTCATACGGACCAAATTGATAAAATAGAAATATAAAGCAGTTTCACTTTTACTTCCTCATTAAACGGGAAGAGATCTTCCGGCTTCAGCTGTTCTTGTAACATCTATGCGTGCCATTCAGCAGGCAATTTCACTCCTAGTCATGACAAGGACAATGAGATTATGTATGAACATTCACTCAATTGTTCCATTCCATAGATATAAAGTAAATGGTGGAATGGAAAAGGCATAGCTGCTAACATTAAAATTCTCACTGGGAAAAGGACTTGAAACAATCGATACATCAACACTCATAACCCCTGCTCCATTTGAGGACCATTTCCATCAATTCTTTCTGCCTTCAGCTAGGATTACGTGATACCCATGTCTGCATCAGCAATGGGCAAACTTGTAAGCCTTAACAATAAACTGATTAGTATTTACTCTTCATATTTTATTCTTCTGAAATAAAGTGCTCTCTAGTCTATAATTTATCCCAACCCATTTCCACATATAGATACATACGTTGACTTAAACGGTGCGCTGGTAGCTCCAACAGGGGTGTTGAAAGCAACCTCTTGGAAAGGACCGGCCATCTTGCCACGAGGAAACCATCCAAGGTCTCCACCCTTCTTCCCTGAAGGACATTCTGAATACTCTGCTGCTAACTGGAAAAAAAAATTAAGTTAGATTGTTTCATGCGGACCGGACCTTCAAGGCTATCTCCAGCAATCTTTAAGATTTAACTAGTTGAACTTGGGGAAGCGTCCTACTAGTTTATATTGTCATTGTAACACAACATGTTGAATTCAAATTGCTGAAGAACAGCAAAGGGTAGGAACCTGGATGTATAGGGTTTAGGCCAGCAGCAGACTTTCATTGACCAACCCCAATATCGCCACTATCAAACCCACCAGAAAGCCAGAAAAACAATTTTCCAATTCTTTAAACCAGATTTTCGCCATTAAGATTACGTACCAAGTTCCATGAAGCTGGTGCAAGCTAATCTTTCTCATGCATTTACATCGGCATTTCATGAAGAAGATGATAATAAAAAGTAGACCTCTCCAACAGATAGAACGAGAACCATGTAACGGAAAAAGAACACTGGACAATGAAACTTGTTTTCTTCAAGGTGAAACTGTGGGGAGCCTAACTTTATGTATGCGAATTTACAGACGAGTTGGACATGAAGCATATCAAAGTATTAAAAATAAGTTATCACAAGCCAAAATGCAGACAAGCATTTCAAGTTTCAAGAATTCAGTTGTCAAATTCAGGAAACACACCTTTGCAAACTCAGCAGGAGGGACTTTGTCTCCATTGCTTAGCCAACCATCTTGTAGCTTCTTGTATGCTTCATTAATCTTACCTTGCTTCTCACATAAGATATGCCTTGCTACTCCACAGAAGAATAGCAAAAGCTAATAAACATTAATAAAAGGAACCTTGCTTCTCACATAACAGATGCCTTGCCACACCACAGATGAATAGCATAAAGCTAATAAGCACCCAAAAAAAAAAGTAAAAGGACATGTGACATTCAATTTTGTGGAAAGCTTTTCACAAACAGGGTGTATTAAGAAGGTGAATGGCAGGTGAATGGGCGACATTCTTCTCCTTGATTACCTGTTATGTGTGGAAATACAGATGTGACTACATTTTCAAAGGCAAAAGGTCGTTGGACTCTTCCCTGATCAACTATATTACACTGAAAGCTAAGGAGTGGATTGTAACTTGGGAGGCAGCAGAGATAACAACTGATGCAGGATAGCAGCTAAGTAGACAAGAGCAAATGGTTGGGTGGACTCTCCACCGACAGGCTGGCTGAAATTGAACACAGATGGTGCGGCACAAGGTAGTTCGGGCATTGCTTCGGCTGGAGGTTGTCTTAGAGATCATGATGGAGATTGGTTGGGGGGATTCTGTTGTAAAATCGGCACCGGGTCGGCGATCCTGGCGGAGCTATGGGCGATCCACCAGGGACTCACTTTTGCTTTAAATAGAGGAAGTCAGTTCCTCATCGTCGAAACCGACTCAAAACTTGCTATAGATTTGATCAATAACAGGGAAGATAACGTCCATCCACATTCGACCATGCTGAATGCGATCCGGAGATTGATGGCCCAGGATTGGGTAGTTCGGTTAGTTCATACGTATCGGGAAGGGAATAGAGTCGCGGACTGGCTCTCGAAGCACAGTCTCGTCTATCCCTTTGGTACGCATGAAATAACGGATCTACCCAATGATCCTGAGAGACTTATTAGGGAAGACATTATAGGTGTTTGTTTCCCTCGCATGGTTCAGCAGAGCTCTAGTTAATGATGCTGCAGATGGTGGTTGCCTCTATTTTTTTCAGGTCCATTTTGTAACCTTGCTTTGGTTCTCGGCAGCCTCTTGAGGCTTTCAGAAGTTTTGTAATTGGCCCTTTTGGGTTTTATGCATCCTATCTAATCAAAAAAATTAAGAAGGGAGAGGAGGAAATGCTTAAAGAAATGCAGGATAAAACACCTTTCACATAAGTGCATGTGCCAAGTCCATCAGCCTTTCCACTTTTTCCCTTCCCCTTCGAAGCATTTTCATCACTCCCGCCAGCTGCCTGCTTTCCTTTGCCTTTACCTCCTGCATCTTTTGCTTTGGAGTCCTTCCCCATTGCCTACACAGAAACAAGAAGGAAATGCCAAAATGTCAATAGACGATAACCTTCTTGTGTTACATCAAAACTACACAAACTTGCCAAACACTAGACTAATGATATCAATGATGATTGACAAGTTTAACCATCGCTTATGCAAACTATTTCACCAACAAAAAATAAAGAAGGAAAGACAACTGCCACTCTATTTATAGGAACGCTATTGAAGAATCCATAGACAAACCATGATGTCCATTATGGTGGCTTAACTTGAACCAGTTATTCTGCTAGTGTTCCACATTTAATTGCTTCATACCTTTTCAATTAGACTAGTGTTTGGCACTTATTCTAGCAGGATCCCATAACGTTGTTTTCTAATCCTTGCAGTAGGAGTCGAGCTAAAGAGAACATTAGAGCATACTTCTTTCAAACAGGTTGTTCTTAGTCTTTATTGACTTCTTTTTGAGGTGTTTCATATTATATCACCGAGGATTCACCCAACCCTTATACTACCACCAAGCCCTATCATTAAACCCTAAAATCCCAGCAGTGCACCACCAGAGGTTTCCCCCAATTCCTATGGCTGGAATTGCTAGGTGCATTCTTTAGCCCCATTCCACTAGGAGATTAAATTTAAAACGCATCAAACAAAACACAAAGATAATGCTCAAAGAAAAAGGACGAGGTCAGTATCAAAATCCAAATTCTGAAAGCCATCCATATCATCTGCTCCTCAAGTTGAATTGCATATCTAAGCTGTTAAGATAAAGAGCAGTATCCCGTAAAGAGAATCCGCTAACCCGGAACTAGATTCATCAGCTTATGCAGTAAGACTACATCACAGACTTGGCAACGATAGCCGCATCCAATTAGCATACCATCGATGCAGAGATAGAGACCAGAAATCCAGAGCATCAATGATCAAGACAGTGAGTGACACAGAAAACATAACATGAACTCGGGAAAAGAGACATAGTTACAGAAGCCGGCTTATTCTCATATCATATCATTTCCTACCAGAGAATTAGAGGCCCCTTCAAATGACTACCGACGGCAAAACTCAGGCGGGGGGCAGGAGACGAGACGAGAGGGAAGCTGGGAACCGCAAACCAAAGTTGCGAGATTCTGGTTCTGGCTTGCTCGCAGTCCAGATTGAAGAAAGCCGACGGCTAGCGCTGGCAACAAAACCCGAAACTCACGGGTACCCACCCGACCCAACTCGGTCAACGCGGGTAAAATTTGTGTTGACGGGTTTTGGGTCAGGTTTGGGTTTAAACCCGGCTATATATTAGGGGTAACGTAGGAGACATCTCTATTTTTCCACCGGGAAATCTTTCAAATTACCTTCTTCAGGATTTGGCCTGAACTGTTCGGCAGATTCCCACGCGTTACCACTATTTAACGGGTTGGGTTGGGTTTGGGTTTAGGTAAATCCGATCCATGGGTACCCGTCCATACCCATATAATTAATTTTCTCGGTATATTTAATATTCATATTCTAAAGAACCAATCTTATTTATGTCTGTGAAGACATGTCTAATTTTTTCTTTCTAATTGTGTAGAATGAAGTTGATATTATCGAGTGGAGAGTGAAGAAACTTAATTGAAAGGAAGAAGTCTTCAATTAATCATGTTATTTATGGATAATTTATGATTTACTTCAATTTTCTTGAGTTTTCTAGATTGGTGTTGAACAATTTGTATAGTTAATTTGTGATTTGCTTGAATTTTCTAGAATGGTGTTTTAAATATGGATAATTTGTATTGAGAGATTGATATTTGACTTTAATTTTGATAGGAACTTGTTATTGTAAATTTTTTACGACAAAAACCCGTGGGTACCCATGAACTCGCGAATACCCAGCGGGTTGGGTTGGGTTGGGTTTGAATTTTTCAAACCCAGTAGATTTTACCCCGGGTTTTTTTCACGGATAAACCCATGGATTTAGGTTTGGGTTTGGCCCAACCCGACCCATTGTCATCCCTACCTAGCTTAGTTGGATGCGCTGAACCAGTGAACCGGGATTGTGACCGTGAGTTACTTATTCATTGTGATTAGGGGTATACTAAAGTTAGGTGACTCAGATAGTCGGATGTGAACAATTTAAGTTACGAAATCATCGACCGCCTTGTTTGCTTAATAAATAATTTTATTATTATTATGGACTAGCACAAGCCCCGCTCTATTGGTCCGAAGAATTTTCTCGATCAATATGATATATAATAATGGATATAATATATTATTTGAAATGCATAAAATGATTGTTTTCTACATTAATTATGCACATAACATTTTTGAAAGTGATCCAACTATGCATAATATGTTTAGATTTCCATGAAAAGAGGAAAAAAAATATAATATAAGCATTACATATAATTATTGAATGAAAAATATAAATATAACTAATTTTCATTCATTACTTAATTAAATCATATAGTTGAATATTAGAGTTGCTTCTCATAATATATACATAATCAACCTTTAGGATGAAAGAAAATGTCTCTTACAGTTTAGTATGTCATTTAAGTTTTTCCCAATAGGGAGCATTCTTTTTACCACACTGTTAGTAATGAATCCGAAGTTGCTTCATTTGAAATATATATGACATGATGCAAAGTTGTCGCTAATAGTTAGTTGGACAATGTGTTGTACGGACTTCCCAAATTATTCTCATATTGCAGACATGTCTAGCAACAATGTAGTAAGTTTCACGCATCAAATATTTTTTTTCATAAAATAATTCAATAAATTAAAACGTATGAAAATAATATTACATGAAATATATGTTACTCATTAAGTTGATGAATAAGCGAGGGTATGAGTAGCATATATTTATTTTAAAAAGATAGAAATTGCAAAGTGTACGTCTTTTGGGTTGCATGAGATCGCATATTCTCATTATTGCTAACTGACTTATGCTTTTTTGCAATAGATAGTTCAAAATGTGCCTTAAAACTTTTGTTTCCGCCAGTGTAAAAGAATTGTTTGAACCAAAGGATTGTAAAATCGTATCGAAAAAGTTGGTAGTAGAGTATTTTATACCGAAGTCATAATTTAACTGTGGTTCAACCGTTTCATATTGTTATATATCACCTATCGATTTAGTCTATGATGTGAAGTTTTATGGTCGAACCGCCGGTAATTACGTATGATCTTTCAATACAAACTTTAAATAAAGGGTCGAGGTCAAATTTTGGGATAATTGGGGGTTAAAAAGCGCAAAAACCGAAAAAAGTCCGAAGTCGACGCTGACAATTGCCCCGTAACAGTGAAGTGCAGGCGTCCAGGAAACAGCCGCAGTTCACGGCCGGACGAGGCGGTTCACGGTCTCCTAAGACCATGAACTTCAACCACAAACCGTGAACACCGAGGCGTCCAGCGAGGTTCCTGAAGTTACTGACGACAAGGCAGTTCACGGTCTCTAAGACCGTGAACTGTGGCCATTGACCGTGAACCCAGGAAGCAAAGAGGTGCATTTTGGAGACGACAAAGTTCATGGACATGTTTAGGTGTTCACCGCCGTGAATTGGCCAACGCGTCCGTGAACTGGTCACTTTCGGGCAAATATGAAGACAACAGTGGGGAGAGAGAAAGGGAGAGCTAGTTTTTGTAGAGAAATTCAATTCCCTCTCTATGGTTTGCCCAAAACACCAAAAGGGGAGTTCAAGTGAGAGAGAGAGAGAGTGTGTGCTAGAGTGACCTTGGAGCATCATTGGAGGCTTGGGTAGACAAGGGTTCAAGCCTAGAAGAAGAAGATCTTGAACTCAAATTTGTAATCTCCTCTCTCTCTCTCTCTCTCTCTCTCTCTCTATCTCTCTCTCTCTCTCTCTCTCTCTCTCTCTCTCTAGACACTTACTCTTTTCTCTTGGGTGTTGTAGATCCCTAACTAATACTTTGTAATTACTTGTTTAGATTGAATGATTTTGTATGGGTTTGCATCAATTTGAGTGTTAGAGGTGTTTTCATGGCGATTGTGCTTACTTTTGCTTTCCAAATCTTGTTTGCTTGCCTAACCTAGATTAGAGGAAAACCACACCTTTTTAGGTAGGCTTGACAAGCTTGGTTTTCCTTGGCACTTTGTGTCTACTATCTAGGTTAGAGATGAGCATCCTCCTTAACTTAAGTTTGCATCTAGGTTGGTTGTGATTCAGCAGCTCAAACTCCTGTTTAAGGGAGAGACTTAGGCAACCACTAGAGACCGAATGAGAGGATCGATCCCGTGACAAATTTATCTTTAGTGAATCCATCCCTTGATAGATGGATCACTAGTTGCTCCTCCTAGTGGTTCCCCTAGACTTGGTGAGCGGATCGATCCCGTGACAAATCGATCGCTAGTGAATTGATTCTGTGACAAATCGACCACTAGTTGCTCACCCCCGCGGTTCACAACCACCTACGCCACATGACTCCATTCAATCCAACGAGTCATGGTAGCTAGTTAGGGGGAAGCAACTCCTGGGTGAAACTCCCTTAGTTAGAATTTTCCTTTATTTACTTTTCTTTGCTTGTTTAATTTGTAGTTCAATTAGTTCTAAACCCAAAATTTGCTTGCTAGATGACAACCTAAGCGATTGAAGTTGGGGTACATGGATCGGCCCGGGTTGATGATTTAAATACTTGCTGTATACTGCACCCGGCTAGAGTTTAAAATTTTGGGCTCTAGTCGTGATTAATTTGTGGTGTAGTTTCGTGCGAGTCCTGCCTTAGGATGAAACAACTTTTTCTTTTAACTCGTCGGTTTTGTGCGAAAAACTGGAGCTCCTTGTGTTTCTGCTCGTTTCTGGTGTGTCTAGAGGGGATTGGGAGACAACTATTTATAGTAGGCAGACCCCCACCAATATACCCTATGACTTGGGAAATAAATCGCGTTAATTGAGAAGATAATCACCCCGTTAATTAAACGCGTTTGTTAAGATAATTCTTGGCCGAATTATTGGGGTTCGTTAGGTCCTCTCTCTCCTATAAAAGTGGGTCACCTCAAAGGGCATGCCCTTAGTTAAAAAAAAACCCAATCTTTATACCCATTTGGTAGGAGTTCTCCCACCAATATAGTATTCTTGCCTTAGGACATATAGATTTCAAAGCTATTCACAAGCTTCATTTCTAACAATGCCCAATCTGGTTGGTCAACATGAGTAGGTACAACACACTTAGGAGAAATGGGATATGGTCTTAATGCCCTGAATAAAACCGCAACCACCAAATCAGAAGAGGGAAGTATAGTAAGATAGATGGAGTCATTTGAGAGATAAAGAAGAAAATGAAAAATGATACACAAAGGACTTCACAAATGAATGTTCCAGAAAATCGGATAGCATCAATATTAAATGTCATATAGTTCACTAAAACCATACATCTTGGCAAGGTAATGGACAAGTTTGTTTCAGCTTGTCTGGGAAACCTAAAAACTTATGTAGGGAGCTTCTAGTAGTACATGACTAGAAAGTTTAGCAGGCAACACGTAAATATATTTTGATGCAGAAAAAAACTTAAAATAACAAAATAGTATGAATCAATGTAGTCAAATGTGCGTTTTCACCTGTCCAATCAAACTAAGGAAGTTTTTCACTTCGATCTACCCTTTCCTCATATAATATAGCCAACCCTCGGGCAAATTTGACTTCGCATCATCTTTTCCTGTCCCAATGGAGGACAACTTCACTTTCAGATGAACAGATTTATGAGTACTCCAAACAATACTGTGTGCTCTAAAGAGCCATAGTATCATGAATTTTAATGCATCTGAGAACAATACTGTGTGCTCTAAACAACCATAGTATCATGGCCAATTCCTTTTCTAGCTTTCATATGGTACAAGGACATGATGAATCACAGGACACAACCTTTCACAATGATACCAGAAGCAACGACCTACTTGGGAATATTCCAAACTGCAACTGTAAATAAAGACTTTGATCCACAATATCGAATCGAAGTGATTCACCACCACATAATGAAGGGTGCGGATGTATAACAACACTTAAAGTGTTGTTATACTAACAACAAGAGCATAATAGTAAAAGATCAATAAATATAACAAATTAAAAATAAATAAACAAAATCTAAATACCCTAAGCGTGTTTTATTTATCTCTCTTCCCAGCAACAGCGGCTAGATCTGTACCTCTGAACAACAATTTAGTTTTCTTCTCCGATGCCAATCCTCTGTCATCGCCATCGCACCGGTCCACTCTCTCCCGACCACAACCACACCGCCGACGATGAGTTCAGTGCGACGACGATGGATACGGAGAGCGCCGCGGTGGCACTGGTGTGCTACCAGCAGAAGGTCCCTTTCATCAGTCGTCTTCAAGACTTGGATTCCGCCATGCGATCAGAAATCGTCGAGGCCATAGCCATGTCGTCTCAGATCTGGAGTCGTGATGTGTGGCGGCGGCGATTCAAGGCAGCTCTTCCGCCGACCGTTTCTCTGATCATCCCCTCTCCTTTCTGACGTCGACGACGATCTTTTTAACCTCAACTAATGGTATGCTCCTCTGCCCCGCTTTTTACCCGCCGCTGCCGCCTGGAAATCAACTTTGTCATTTCTCCCCCGTTGATGGCCTCCTCCGTTGTAGATCTCATTACAATTTACACCTCCGTTGGAGTGTATGATGAATCCAGAGTCGTCAACTCGCTGGACCCAAGGTTAAGAGAAGGGGAGGGAGAGGTGTTGGTATCAAAATCGGGAACGTTGTAAACTCGTGCTTCTCTTCTTGGATTCTGTTACGTGCAGTTAGTGGGCCGGATATGGGGGGATTTTGATTGTTAAGTGGGTATTTGGGATTATCTCCAGTAGCTTAATTTTAGGATTAGTGGGTTGGTAATTTTCTTATTTAAGTCAACTAGAAGGATGTAATCAGGGGGAATAACAATCACAGTGTCGATTACTGTAGGAGGCCAGCTTTGCCTCAAAGAAGCCAAACCCCAATCCATCTTCTCCTTTCCAACGTCCCCATAACTCCACCATAGCTCCAAAGAAGCAAAATCCCATCAAGCCTTGGCCGCTATCCGAGCCACAAGGGCTTGAAACTCGATCCCAAATAAAAGCACACAACAACTTGGTATCAGAGTCGGCCGCTTCTGCCGCTGTGGAGGCTCAAATTGATCAACTCGAAGATTTATTGCGACAAGAGATGCTATTAAATGAAACGAGGAGGCAAGAGTTGCAGCAGGAAAGCCAAGAGAATTTCGCTACCCTCAATGCACGACTTGACCAGCTCTTTGCACGCCGACGGGAGGGTGACGAACAACATCTTCAGATTTTCAATGGAGGTCTGAGAAACAGGCGCCTTGAAGGTCACCATCCTGGAATCAAAATTGATTTCCCACGCTTCCTCGGAGAGGAGGATCCGACGACTTGGATCTGCAGAGCTGAGAAATTTTTCCAGGTAGTGGGCCGTATTTGGGGGGATATTGATTGTTAAGTGGGTATTTGGGATTATCTCCAGTAGCTTAATTTTAGGATTAGTGGGTTGGTAGTTATTTTATTTAAGTCAATTAGAAGGATGTAATCAGGGGAATAACAATCAAAGTGTCAATTATCGTAGGAGGCCGGCTTTGGCTCGAAGAAGCCAAACCCCAATCCATTCTCCTTTCCAACGTCCCCATAACTCCACCATAGCTCCAAAGAAGCAAAAACCCATCAAGCCTTGGCCGCGATCCGAGCCGCAAGGGCCTGAAACTCGATTCCAAATAAAAGCACACAACAAATTCTCATATTCCCATAATTTTTCTTAAGATCTCGACCTTCCTTTAATTTTGTTTTATTGATTGTTAACGCTGCTGCAATATGTAGGGAGAGAGTTTGCCGCAGTTGTTTGTGATTTCTGTCTCTACTCAATTTTGTTGTGCAATTTTTTTTAAGAATCTCGTGTTGCCGAAGGAAAGTCTTCTCAGGTTGTCGCTGCTGCTTTAGGTTGATATTGGTTTGTTGATTTTATTTCCAAACCACTTCAAATCAGAACTATCTAAAAGTACCACAAATGTCGGGAAACGCACTAGAAACTTCTTAATACAAACCACAATAAACACCGTGAAACAAACATAAAAACACTCCAGAACCCTTCTAATATAAACCACAAATCGCCTAAAATATACCAAAAGCACAACAAAGCAAACCACAAATATTTATAAAACACACTAGAAATCTCCTAATACAAACCACATACGCAATAAAACAAACCACAAAAAGTATACAAGAAACCTCATATTGCAAACCAATTGTAGACACCACTTTTTGTCCGGGTTAAAACCTTTTTACTTAAATAAAATTTAGTTTTTATTGAAGATTTGCAATAGCGAGTTAATTGATTTTCAAGCTAAAACATATTGATAGTGCTCGAGATTGGCATGGTCGCCATAACTTGACGAGATTAAGCAATAGCAAATCTTGATCCATACGATTTGATGGTGAGAGTTGGCTTCTTTTGCTTTGATTAGACGAGCTAGACATGGACTTCATTTTATCGTACGAGTTTGATCATTTTCTTAAGACGAGTTTGATCATTTTCTTAAGACGGTGGGTCTAGTGAGGATTGGACTCAACTTTGGAACATTAAAGATAAAAAATAAAATAACAATCTTATTAAAATAAATTCCAATTACATGTACAATTACATTACTACAAAGTTGTTACATAAATGACCTTTAAGATTGTATAAATAAAAGAAATTGGGCTCAAGTCAAAACCCAACCAAAGAGTCAACTGTCAACCAAAGTCAAAGCTGACCAAACTGACCCGTTGACCTGTTCTGACCTAACCCATGACCAATCTGACCCAAAACCCAAGCCTGGTCCAACCAATGACCCAAACCCGGTCAAAGCAAAATGGATACTATAGAATGCTTGCTGCCTAAGCAGCCTCTTTCTATAAAAAGAGCCATTTGGGCACTTACAAAGGGGGGCTCTTCTTCTTCTTCCTTCCCCTACCTCGATCTGCTCCTTCTCAACAAAAGCAGGGCTGAACTTTCTTCTTCTTCTTCATCCTTCTTCCTCCCCATGTGCAAAAAAAAAAAAAAAAACTTCTACATACTTCCTTTCCCCCCTCTGAACGTGCTTCTGACAGTTCTTCTTCTCCTTCCCTTCTCCACCAAAGGCGGTCAAGAGAGGGAAACCAGATTGATCATCTTCTTCTCACCCACGAGGATCCACTTCCTTTTCTTCTTCTCCCCTGCACTTCCCTCTCCTTAAACACAACAACACAACAGTTAGATAAACAAAAATTCTGCAAATATCTCCCTCAATTCTTTTCTTCAAACTCAAAATCCACACAAACATAAGTTAAAGGAAACCCAAAGGAGCAAAAAACCTAGGCTGCGACATCAGTTTGGCAGCAGAAACTCTACTTCTTCCATACATACCACCTTCTTGCTTACAAACACACCACAAAATCACAAAAACAATAACAATAGAAGGAAGCAGATAAGGAGGCAGCAAGCTCCCATAAGCTAGGAGAGGCAGAATCATCACCCAACCAAAAGGAAAAGCCTACTATTAATACAATCATGAACTTCCAGATCATACTCACCATGAACACGCCCCAAATTTTCAGATTCAGAATGCCACAAAACAACATCTTGCGGATTTGAAACCACCATGAACATACACAATTTGTAGTTTCAAAATGATCCAAATCGAGGTCTCAGATTCTCAATCCTTTTTTTTAAACCAAAATAGAAGACCATACAAAAAAACTTACCGAAAGGGTCTGTCTGCCCTGTACTCATTCCATCGCCGTCGGCGAGACCCGGGACTGCCGGCGGCGGCTCCCTTACTTCCACCCCTATCGTCTGAAACCCCAAACCAAATAAAAAAAGTCAGAACTATAAAACTTCCCAGATATCAAAATAAAAAGAAACAGAAGCTTACCCAGAAAATCGAATCCCACAGAGGGGTTCTCTCCCTTGCACGACCATTAGAATCCCTCGCCGTCAGCTGGTCCCATTTTCGATTCTCCTCTCGGCGATAATCAAAACAAAAAACAAAATACCATCAAAAACCAAAACACAGTAAGAACCCTAAATCCAAATAAATAGAAATCGCCAATTGAAAACACAAAAACGACATGCAAACCCCAAATGAAACTAGTACCTTTACCGTCGTTCGATCGTCATCACCGGTGTCCACCACCGTCGTTTCTCCCTCGTCGTTGTCGTTTTGCTTTTCTTCCTAGCTCCTCGTGTTTCAGTAGAAACGACGTAGAAAGAGATGGTCGATCGAAATACGAAAAGAAGTGAGAAGGAGAGAGGCGGCGGTTTGGGTCGATTTAGAGGAGAGCTAGGGTTCATGTTTGTTCGTTTTTGGAGGAGAGACGAACAGAAGGAGAGAGAGGAAGATGATATTCGAGAATAGAAGGGAGGCCATTTAGTGGCTAGGGTTTCTCCAAATGGGTAAATATACCCTCGAGCGCAAAATGACCAATTTACCCCTAGAGTTTCCCCTTAATTACCCGTTGCCATCGTTCTTGCTAAAAACGAAAAAACCAGTGCTGAGCTTCGAACCGCCAGCCTGATCCATTAAAATCGAGAAAGGCAACATGTCCAGCCACCAGGTTGATAGCCCACCTCTTGCACATACTGACATACACCCATCTCTTTACATTTTAAATGAATTAAACCTTAATACGTAACTTACAACTAAATTACTTCCGTTATCACATGGAAACTTATTCCAAACCGGATACAATCATTAATATCTTAGCTCCTAATAATTATTAACTTCATTTTAGAATACTCTTCTTACATTGGATTTTTTTTCTTAAAAATAATCTTTAATACAAAATCATGGTCAATAGACCGTGATAGTAGTTCTCAGTGAAATCCTTCCAAAGATAATCCCACATTCAAACACTAAACTGATATATCAAAAATACATTTTATAACAACTCAAATTATTATCTTATTCATGAACAATAGAACATGGTAAGATCACGCTTTGAATCACTCAAAATTACATCGAACTACGTGGACTTTGATCTCGGTGAACCCGGGTACGTAGGCAACCGATAGGTTCGAGTCCAACCAATAAAAAAACCCCCTTTTTACGTCAATAGACGTGATAATTGGTAACTTTAAATTCAAATTTACACTAATCACATCGTCCTATGGGACTCTAAAATTTACATTTAATTTAAAAAACGATTAAAAACCACAATTAAATACATCAATAAAGCCGCAAATATTAATACACCCAACCCTTATTGATTTAAGTAGTACCCATTTGGGGCGTTGTGGGGTGTGAATACACTTCCCCACACGTAACCGTACTCCCGAACCCAATTTCTAAAATTTCGTAGACCAGATCTCGGTTTCGACCCTAAGGTCGAGACAGAATAAAAAGGTGTTCGATCCACCACAAACTAAGGTCGATGGCGACTCCGATCAGTGACGCGACGGGTAGCCCGATCTCGGAGGGGCGGTTGCGACACCAATAATACTCTAAGACATACCAGAAACCACATAAAGGAAATCACATAATTTTCAAAAGCACACCAGAAACCTCATAATACAAACCACAAACACGATAAACCAAACCACAAAAACAAACCAGAAACCTCCTGATGCATACCACAAATCTATTAAAACAAACCAGAAATCCCTCAAAGCAAACCACAAAATATTTTAAAGCACACCAGAAACTTCTTAATGCAAACTAGAAACACGATAAAGCAACCACAAATATCATACAAAAAACACGAGAAACCAAACCATTAATCCCACAATGCAGAACATAATATCTGGTGGTCGTTGACCATTGACCAAACTCCGATGATCGTCAGTGAGCAGATTCCGACGTCGATAGGCATATTCCGGCCCCGATGACTAGATTCCGACGCCGGTAAGCATATTCCGATCACGACGATCGGATTCCGGCAACGGTGGGCATATTATAGCAACAAGGGATGTTGTCACACTAGGTCAACTCAACTAATAAAAAGTCATCACAACCCTAGCTTTCTATTGGTTGGAGACTAGTGTTGTTAGGTTACAATAACAACACAAGGGGTGTTGTCACACTATCTAGTCCCCATAACAAAGGCAGTTTGAGATTCTCAATTCATTCGCACCTACATTGACCATGATTTTTTTTTTGTGAGAACATTGACCATGATTTGGAAGAAGAAAACAAGTTTCCTCATTTCTTATAAATAAAAGGTAATGTCTATTTATAATCCAAATTTTTTTTATTCTTTTTATTAGCTAAATCTATCGAAATAGTAAGAATTAATTAGCCAAATGTTAGCTTTCAGTTAGTAATTTTGTTAGTAATGCTGACTTAGCAACATGATACTGACTTGGAAGAGACACATTAAGGTCAACATTCCAAAATTTTGATATTTTAACTAAGAAAAGAGTTACAAAATTATTAACGATAATGTAAAAATTGCTAATATTTTGATGCATTACAAAAAATTTGGCTAATTAATAGCAATTTAATAGGTTTGGATAATATAAAAGAATCTAAAAATTTTTTGAATAAAAAATAAACATTACCCATAAAATAACTAATGAATTGTAAAACCCAACAATGTGCACACGGAATGTCCTTAATTAATAATTATATCTTGTTATGGCAGGACTAAGTAAAAGAGTGGCCCTTAGACACAAGAACGAAACAATTAAATGGCGAAATAAAAAAGGTAAAATTAAGACAAGGCATTATTCTGATTAGTCTGCAACAAGAACAAAATGAAATTGAACGAGAAGCTAATCATAGACTCGAGCATATACCAGAATGAAGCACCTTCACGAGGAAGCTTTAATTCCACACACTTAGGTACGGCACCTGTTTTCAAACATAAAATGCACTAAAACATATTTGTTAGGAAGATATTGTAGCATAAGAAATTATAAAGGCCTACTGGAACTCGTGTGGCACATTCACTTAAGGAAAATTAATAATCATATATAAAAATATTACATACTGCAGATGTGCAGGCTTGCCGTATTGAGCACACAACAGAGTAGTTGTAGTAGCAATATCTGTGCCGCCAGCCATCGGACCTTTTAAGTCACACTCTCTGCAAAGAGAAGTAGCCAAATTTACTGCAATGGAGCATGAACTCAACAGATGAGGTTTTATCAATGACGAAGTGAATCTTGATTTGATTCTAATTCACAACACACATTATTTAGAGGCTTAAATGATTTTGCTGTGATCAGAATTACGGCAGCAACTAAATTAGAGCAATAAACTAAGACTAGTTCTCAATCCGGCTTCGAAGAGGGCTTATGCGCGACACCGGATAGAAAGCATGACGATAAAGAGTAGTGACTTCCGGGAAC